AAAAAAAAAAATAAAATAAAATAACAGGTTCAAATGTAACCCAGGAATGGAGTCGTTTTTGGTGGTAGACTTTGTTAAATATTTTAGTGAGTTTATCTAATAAAATGATATCCTTGTTACTAAAGTGAGCAGTGAATTTTGGAGTATAGATGGGTGATTTTTATTTGCCCTGCGAACGGAGTAGTCTACATTTATACTTACTGAATAGGCCGGACACGATGGCTGACACCTGTAATCCTAGCACTCTGGGAGGCCGAGGTGGGTGGATTGCTTGAGTCACGAGTTCGAGATCAGCCTGAGCAAGAGTGAGACTCTGTTTCATTAAAAATGAAAAACTAAAGCAAGAAGATCATCTAAGCCCAAGAGTTTTAGGTTGCTGTGAGCTGTGACGTCACAGCACTCTACCAAGGGTGACAAAGTAAAACTCTGTCTCAAAAAAAAAAAAAAAGAAAAATACTGCAGAGCATTTCTGGCATTCTCCTCATGTTTTGTTGTGTGCATGTGGTGTGGGAGTTGGTGTGATTGCTGCAATTCATACTTAGGCTCTGTGCACAGAGGAACTATTTTATTTATTTATTTATTTATTTATTTTGAGACAGGAGCCTCAAGCTGTCCCCTGGGTAGAGTGCTGTGGCATCACAGCTCACAACCACCTCCAACTTTTGGGCTCAAGCGAGTCTCCTGCCTCAGCCTCCTGAGTAGCTGGGACCACAGGCGCCCACCACAACGCCTGGCTATTTTTTTGGGTTGCAGCCGTCATTATTGTTTGGCGGGCCTGGGCTGGATTCGAACCCACCACCTTGGGTGTTCGTGGCTGGCACCTTAGCTACTTGAGCCACAGGTGCCGAGCCAGAGGAACTATTTTTTATTTTTTTATTTTTTTGAGACAGAGCCTCAAGCTATCCCCCTGGGTAGAATGCTGTGGCTTCACAGCTCACAGCAACCTCCAACTCCTGGGCTCAAGCGAGTCTCCTGCCTCCGCCTCCCAAGTAGCTGGGGCCCACAGGCGCCCGCCACAACGCCCAGCTATTTTTTGGTTGCAGCCGTCATTGTTGTCTGGCGGGTCTGGGCTGGATTCAAACCTGCCACCTTAGGTGTATGTGGCTGGCGCCTTAGCCACTTCAGTCACAGGTGCCGAGCCAGAGGAACTATTTTTTAAGTCAACATAGTATTAAAACGTTATAGAAGTGAGTGACATCTCATTTACCAGTTGAGCCCTCTAGGCCGGTTAGAGCCATATTCTTTGGAGCAGGAAGTAAGCATCGTTTGTACACACAGTGTTCCCATGTGTAAGTTTGTTTTTTTTTTTTAAATTGGGTAGTTGGCATATCATAGTGTATATCCTTTGACATTGTGTTTTTACGTAATGAATGTATATTTTAATTACGAAGTGTTTGTTCTTCATGTTTTAATTGCTGTTTTTCATGTGACTCTTCAGGATGGGGCTCTCAGACATGCTACTTCCTGGCTTTGGGAGCTGATGCTTGCTTGTTGTTGGAGACTGCCCTGCACATTATAGGATGTTTAGCATCATCCAGGACCTTTAGGCACTAGGTGCTGGTAGCACCTCCCACTGTACCCCATTTCTAACAACTGCAGGTTTCTTCAGGGATTGCCCAATGTTGCAGGGGGCAAAACTGTCCACTGCTAAAAGTAGACATTTCCCAAGGTTTTGACAGGTCCCCATAATTCCTGTCACTGTGCTTCCCATTTCCGTCACTTGTGTTTGATCTCCCAACTCTCATTTCTCCACATCAGACTCTTGGCTGACACTTTAGCTCGAATGTCTTTCCAGTGCCCCGACTTCAGTATGTCCCTGTCCCAGCCTATGCGCCCCACTGATTCCGGAGTATCTGTGACCCCAGGCTTTGTAGTGGCCTTCCCTCTTTCCATGGCCCCACCCAGCCTATTGTTTGCCACCCCTGCCTGCTTTTCAGCTGCTGTAATTTCTTCCCAGTGTGAGTCATTCCCACCTAAGTTCTCATTACCTCTTGTCAGGAGAGTTGCAGAGACCTAGTGTGGTTTCAGTCTTCTCCTGACTGTGCAGCGTATCCCTGCAACTTCATTTCTAAGGCGCCTGGGGTTTCTGCCCACTCTGCACTGCTCCTATTAACGTCTCTCACACACCCTTTGGGTGGCCTGTGATCTTGTCTCCATTCCTGGGCTACTGTATGTTTAATGACCCTGCTGTGCTCTCTGCAGCCCCCATCCTTCATTCTTGTACTTGAACTGCATTCGACCAAAGTTGTCATGTTGTTTGCTCCCCTACCAAACTATATGCTGTGATTACAAAAACCTTGCTTTTCTTGGTTGTCCTTGCGTCACCAGCAACCGCACATTCATTAAATGTATATTGAAGCACTTTGAGTTAGTCTCACTGTCAGTGACAGTTTCCCACAGAGTGGCCTCCTTACTGACACACAGCCACACACAGGCTGTCTCACCATGGTCCTTTTGCTGAGTTCATTTCTTTTGCCTGGAATCCTTTCTGAAGTCCCATTTTGCGTGTGAAAACATCTTTCAGTATGTGGTTAAATAGCACAACTTCAAGTCTTTTCTGATACTTCATACCATTAAGTGGAATTTTTCCATCTAAATTCTTCTTATATTCTATTGCCTTTTGTTTTGTTTTGTTTTTTTGAGACAGAGTCTCACTGTCGCCCTTGGTAGAGTGCCGAAGCGTCACAGCTCATAGCAACCTCAGACTCATGGGCTCAAGCGATTCTCTTGCCTCAGCCTCCCAAGTAGCTAGGACTATAGGCGCCCACCACAATGCATGGCTATTTTATTTTTGTTGTGGTGGTGGTGGTTTGGCAGGCCGGGGCGGGTTGGAACCTGCCAACCCCCGTGCATGTGGCCGGCACCCTAGCCGCTGAGCTACAGGCACCGAGCCTCTATTGCCTTTTGTTACACACATTCATTACTACTATCTCCAGTAACAGGATGCAGATGCTGTAGCAGGGCTCCTCAGACTTTTTAAACAGGGGGCCAGTTCACTGTCCCTCAGACCGTTGGAGGGCCAGACTATAGTTTAAAAGGACAGGCAGCGGTGGCAAAAACACCTGGTGGGCCGGATAAATGTCCTCGACGGGCCACAGTTTGAGGACGCCTGTGTAGAGCTTGAAGATGGCACCCAATAAGTGTGTTTTTGATGACTATATTCACATGTTACTTGTTTATTTAGAAATTTCCTATGTCTTACACTGTTTTTCCATGTATTTTTTGAGAGTTTGACTGTGTTAGTGATTTGAGCAGGACAAACTGAAAAGAGAAGTAATTCAGATTTCTTAAGTTTCACTGTGTATCAGGTGACTAAGAAAATAGGCTTCCCAGAGGAGACGTGTAATAATTGCCCTGAGATTTGCATTCATACACGTGGATGCTCCTAGATGATGAACTTGTAGGGTCAGCACCTTCTTTTCACCTTGATCCTCTGCGTGTGTGTATTGGGCACATTGCTGGCAGTCAAAGCTGTTGAATTTCCACTTCTTCCATAATGTTTTCCTTTCTTATCCTATTTACTTTTTTGATGACAAGTTTATTAATAAACATAACTGATATACTTTACGAGTTCAAGAGTTTGTTCCATTTTGCACCACTTAAACATTCTTCACATCTGTTAAATGAACTGAAATAGTCTTATTTCTTTAGCAGTTGATATGTTACTTTTTTGTTCATTTTTTTGAGACAGAGTCTCGCTTAGTCACCCTGGGGTTGAGTGCTATGGTATCACAGCTCACAGCAACCTCAAACTCTTGGGCTCAAGCCATCCTCTTGCCTCAGCCTCCTGAGTAGCTGGGAATATGGACACCTGCCACAGTGCCTACCTATGTTTTTAGAGACAAGGTCTCACCCTTGCTCAGGCTGGTCTCGAACTCCTGAGCTGAAGCAATCTCCCCACCTCGGTCTCCCAGAGTGCTAGAATTAGAGGCCTGAGCCACCACGCCCAGCCTGCTTTGTTACTTTAAAGAAAGGTGTGTCACATCCAGATCCAAAGTACCAAGTCGTCATAATAACTGCCACTCATTTTCCACTGATACGGTGAATTCTTTCTTTTTTTTTTTTGTAAGGACAGAGACTTTATTGCCTTCGGTAGAGTGCTGTGGCATCACACTGCTCACAGTAACCTCCGACTCCTAGGCTTGGGCGATTCTCTTGCCTCAGCCTCCCTAGTAGCTGGAACTACAGGCGCCTACCACAACACCCGGCTATTTTTTGGTTGCAGTTTGGCCGGGTTTGAACCCATCACCCTCAGTGTATGGGGCTGGCACCCAACCCACTGAGCCACAGGCACCACCTGATAAGGTGAATTCTTTTCCCAGGCCCTCCTCCTGGTGGTTTCTGCAGACCACAGACACTGAATATCCATGTGCTCCAGCCTAACCCTAACCTGGTGCTCTGGGAAGCTCTGGGAAAGACTCAGAAACCAAACGCCAAAGCAGAGACATCATACCAAGTCCTCATTTGTTCATGACCTTGTTACCCTGTGTCCATTTGCTCTTAAGGGCTGTCTGTGCCTGAAAATAAAGTTAGTCTGAAGGGAATTCCCATACTTGCCCAATTAAAGACACCAATAATTTGGGGGGTTTCTTTTTTGCCAATTAGAATAAATTTTTAGAACTATGGATGAAGTAATATGTCTGCTTATTTTATTTATCAGTTTAGTTAAGACATTTAAAATTGTGGAATGTACAATAAAAGTTAAGCATTGTGTTTTTTTTCCATGCTCATTTTATTGCCATTCCTTTTTTTTTTCCTGCAGTTTTTGGCCAGGGCTGGGTTTGAACCTGCCACCTCTGGCATATGGAGCCAGTGCTCTACTCCTTTGAGCCACAAGCGCCGCCCTCCATGCTCATTTTATAAAACAGTTTTCCTGGGGGCAGTGCCTGTGGCTTAGTGGGCAGGGCGCTGGCTCCATATACCGAGGGTGGCAGGTTCAAACCCATCCCTGGCCAAACTGCAACAAAAAATACCCAGGCGTTATGGTGGCACCTGTAGTCCCAGCTACTCAGGAGGCTGAAGCAAGAGAATCACTTAAGCCCAAGAGCTGAAGGGTGCTGTGAGCTGTGATGGCACAGCACTCTACAGAGTGAGGCTCTGTCTCTAATATATATACAAACAATTTTTCTTCCTTTTTCCGTGTGTCATCAGTATCCCTGTCCCTTCCTGATGTTCTCCCCCTTGTCTTGACAGTTTGAGAGCTCAGTACCTTCACTTCCTTCTGGGTTTGGGTGCTGGGTGCTATTTTCCAATACCTGTCTTGATAGTAATCTGAGGAGGATATTGTCATTGGAAACTTACCCCAAGCCGCAAGGCTCCTTTCACATGGTATTAGGATGGCTGTTTCTGATGTATTTCCGTGTGTTTTTAATCACAACATGCCAGAGCTACATATTTAGGCTTCAGTTAGAATATAATTAATGTGAAATAATTTCTCAAATCTTGAACTTTCTTTAATATTCTTTTTCTTCTTAAAGATTCCAGCAGAGGGAACTTTATCCAAAAAGTTGGCAGCAATAAAGTAAGTTCATAATTAGAGGAAGGGAGTCATCTTAAACTTGCTTCTTTTTTGGTTAAAATTGAAATACTTTCTTAACAGTTTCACAGTTGTATTTTTATAATGCAGCATGTCTGTTTCCTTGTATCTGTAGTGGCCGATAAATTGTCACGTTTGTCTTTAAGCCTTAATGTAAATTGTAGAGTCACAGAAAATACTGTGAAATAACTTACTGGAAAATGTGCCATGAGAAATTTTAAGAATGCTTAAACTGTTTAGAAGAAAAGAAGAAAGTTTAAGGGCAGTGCCTGTGGCTCAGTGAGTAGGGTGGCAGGTTCAAACCCTGCCCTGGCCAAACTGCAACAAAAAATAGCCGGACATTGTGGCGGGCCCTGTAGTCCCAGCTACTTGGGAGGCTGAGGCAAGAGAATTGCTTCAGCCCAAGAGTTGGAGGTTGCTGTGAGCTGGGACGCCACAGCACTCTACCAAGGGCGACACAGTGAGAGACTTCTGTCTCAAAAATTAAATAAATATGGTATATAAACTGTCTAGCTCAATGCCTGACCTTATTAGTCTAAAACTATAAAGCGGTATAGAACACTGTTACAGAATGCCATGAGCTGTGCTGGGTGCTATTTTTCAATACCTGTCTTGATACTCATTTGTATGGTAACATTTTTGTTACTTCAGAATAATAGGTTAATGTCTTCAGGGAAAGATTGTGGTCACTATTAACATCTAAATTACATCACCATTTTGCAAGCCTAGTTTATTAATGGCCTTAGCTGTTAAGCAGCACTAGCTACAGTCGGTTTAAAAAATAGTGAAAACTGGGTGGTGCCTGTGGCTCAAAGGAGTAGGACACTGGCCTTATATACTGGAGGTGGTGGGGTCATACCCAGCCCTGGCCAAAAACTGCAAAAAGAAAAAAAAAAAATAGTGAAACCCAGTCATCACAGGCCTTCCTTTGTAAGAACATAGCACCCACCTATAGTCCTGACAATGGTGGGTACTGGTCAGATCAGAGTCTGATCAGACCTTGGGATCTGGCTGCCATTTGCAGGAAGGTTGGGGGCAGAGATACATAATGAACTGTGTTATGAGTTTGCAGTCAGCAAAACTGAGGCTTTTGGAAATATCTGCCAGTCAACAGTAAGATAAAAAGATACGGGGAGAACCCTATAAATTAAATAAGACTCTAAAGGTGTATCAACTCAAAGAATAGACAAGAGCAAAATATGATGTCCAGGAAGAGACACTTGGATGGTAAAACCACATAGATGTGCAGGGGAGTGGTTCCCATAAAAGTTGGGACAGTGGTTACCTCTGGATGGAGGGAGGGGCTGCACCTGGGAAGGGCCATGGACAGAGGCTTCTGGGTGGGTGATGGTTCCAATGGTTGCAATGGTATTGAGTTGCTGTGACAAAGCTATATACAATTGTGCATTTTTCTGCATGGAGGTTTTATAGTAAAAAGGAAACTTTGAATTGTTTTTCACGTCTATTTGTGTGGGTTAGATACAGGGTTTGGCACGTTTGAGTGTCTTGTGGGCAGTCCCGTTTTCTTACGGTGAGGACACCTAAGAAGGTGGGGGTTACATCTCTGCCATCTGTAAGTTGTATGCTAAATTTTGGGTTATTACTAAATGTTTATCCAAGGAGATGAGACTTCTCCCCAGCAAGTCTTGTCACATATGTTGACTGAGTAGAAAATAAGCTGAATTTATTTTACTTGCTTTGAGGTTAACACATTTTACATTGCGGCGCTGTTTGTTTGTTTGTTTGTTTGTTTGTTTTTGTGTGTGTGTAGGCGCAAAATTCATCCTGATCAGAAAAATATCAATGCCTATGTTGTGTTTAAGGACAAAAGTGCTGCTGTAAAAGCATTGAAAAGGTAACTTTGTCTCTAAATTTGCACAGAAATACTGTCATGTAAATGGGGGTATTTTTTTATTCTTTGGCTCCTTCAGGCATGTAAGTAATGCTTTGCTCATTTTTAACAAGCATTTCCTTTCATATTTATAATATAGAAATGGGACTCAAATTGCAGATGGATTTCGTATTCGAGTTGATCTTGCATCTGAGACTTCGTCTGTAAGTAGTACTTGATTTGTTTGAAGAACTTAACTAGTACCTTGTAGAGAGAAATACTTTCTTCTGAGCTTTTGCTGGGAGGGGAGTGGAATCAGTAGTTAGCATGAAGCAAGCACAGAAGGAAACAGCCTCTGTTCTCTGTGGTCACGGATCTGGTGCCACGAGTAGCACAAGGACTCAAGTGAACATTAGCTTCAAACTCAGTCACTCACATCTTCCATTTCCAGTATGTCCCCCACCCACCATCAGATCAAATAATCACAGGGAGCCAGATTGGAAGGTACATCAGAGATTATCTGGTCTAGCACCTTAATTCATAGGTGAGGTCTAGAAAGTTCTGTTATTTATTGGACAGTTTTGTTAGCGTGTGCTCTGTTGGGCATACTTTTTTTTTTTTTTTTTTGAGACAGAGTCTTACTATATTGCCCTAGGTAGAGTACCGTGGTGTCACAACTCACAGTAACCTCCAACTCTTGGGCTTAAGCAATTGTCTTGCCTCAGCCTCCCAAGTAGCTGGGCCTACAGGTGCCTGCCACAACGTGCGGCTATTTTTTGTTGCAGTTGTTTAGTTGGCTTGGGATGAGTTCAAACCCCGCCACCCTTGGTATATGGAGCCGTGACCCTACTCACTGAGCCACAGGCACCGCCGAGGACATACATTCTTAAAACATAGTTTCAACTCTCTAGGAGCTGATAGTGTATGGTGGGAACAAGCAGAGGGACACTTGTGGCATCCCAGGTAGCTGGGAGTACAGGCACCTGCCATAACACCCAGCTGCTTTTTAGAGACAAGGTCTTAACTCTTGCTCAGGCTGTCTCAAACTCCTGAGCTTAGACCATCGACCCCACCTCAGCCACCCAGAGTGCTAGGATTACAGGGTGTGACACCAGCAGGCATGTTTTTGTTAATAAAGTCTGATTGGCGCTAAAACACCCATTCCTTTCCATATCATCTGTGGGCTGTTTTCCAGATATAAGGATACATTTGAGTAGTTGCAACAGATATCACATGGCCTGCAAAGCCTGAAATATTGACTATTAGGCCTTTTACAGAAAAAGATGGCAAAGTCCCAGTATAGCAAGCCTTTCCTGAGCACTGACACTTGTCATGCCATGTGAATGAAAAGTTGCTCCTGCTTCTGGTGCTCACTCACAGTCAAATGGGGAAGAAACAGAATCCAACACGATAGCTGTGTCCTTAAATCAGCTGTGTCACCAATGACTCATCAGATACAGGGGACAGAGGGATGGGGATAGTCTTAGGATGGCTTCCATTGTCTGGTTCAAAAGTGATTTTTATTAATTCTCCTTTGTGTTTCAGAGGGACAAGAGATCGGTATTTGTGGGGAATCTCCCTTACAGTAAGTTCACATAAACAAAGTATGGATAATGTTATTAAACTAATAACAGGGAAATAAAAACTAAGTTTGCTTTAAGACTGACTTTAGGCTTGGTGTGGTGCCTCATACCTGTAATCCCAGAACTTTGGGAGGCTAGAGGCAGGGGCAAGAAGGATTATTGAGGCCAGGAGTTCAAGACCAGCCTGGGCAATCCCATCTCTAAAAAAAAAGATAGACTTTAAAAAGCGTGCAATGTAAGGCCAGGCACAGTGGCTCAGGCCTGTAATCCTAGCACTCTGGGAGGCCCAGGCAGGTGGATTGCGCGAGCTCATGAGTTCAAGACCAACCTGTGCCAGAGCAAGACCCCCGTCTCTAAAAATAGCCTGGCATTGTGGCAGGCACCGGTAGTCCCAGCTACTTGGGAGGCTGAGGCAAGAGAATTGCTTCAGCCCAAGAATTTGAGGTTGCTATGAGCTGTGAAGCCATGGCACTCTACCAAGGGCAACAAAGTGAAACTGTCTCAACAAAAAAAGCATACAGTGTAATGGCATATTTTCATGGGGCTATGCTTGACTAGCTATAGTATTTAACAATTCTACTTTTCTAAGAAGATGCCAATCTTTACTTCCATTTTGGTTGAATTGGATTTTAGAAGTTGAAGAATCTGTTGTTGAGAAACACTTTTTGGACTGTGGGAATATCGTGGCAGTGAGGATTGTGAGAGACCAAGCTACAGGACTTGGCAAAGGGTTTGGCTACGTTCTCTTTGAGGTATGGAAGACTAATGCACTTGTCTTTTGAAATGTGCTGGGTGGGATTGAAACTGCTGTGTCATTTTTCAAATAGAACTATCATTTCCATTCTGAAATTATATCTGAAGAAAACATACCCATAAAGTTGCTACAATAGAATACTGTTGCTAAAACGGCACCTAACCAGAAGATGTCCCAGTTTCCTCTTTCTTCATACTAATGTTATGAAATAATGTTTCAGATATCAGATATTAGAGGGACCAAGTCTCTGAATCTTCACCTTTAAAGTGGAGAAAATAATTGATCATTTTACTCAGGTAGAAGAAAAATTTAGTCTTTGTACAAAATTGGTTATGTTTCATTCACCTGACTATTAATCTGTGTTTCATGCCTAACATTAAATTGTAAATGAATATACGACCATCCCTCCATATCCTTGGGAGATTGGTTCCTCGGATACTAAAATCTGGGGATGCTTAAGTACCTGATGTTATATTTGCATATAACCTATGCATATCCTCTGGTATAGTTTAAATCATCTCTAGATTACTTAGAGTACCAAATAGAAGGTAAATGCCATGTATGTAGGGTCAGCTATACCTCTTTATTTGATGGCATGCAAAGTTTTCTTCTCTCAGCAATAACCCACTAATTCCTTTCCTTGAAGTCTTTTCCTCTGGTGACTTTGTCATAGGTGAACCTACATCTGTGAACATTGCAGCCTGCTCTGTGTCTCTATTGTGTAGTATTCCACTGAGTGATGAAACGGGTTTTATACTGTTGTTTCCCTAATGTTGGGCATTGGCAGTGTTCTCTAATTTTCCCTTAATAATTAAATTGTTGTAGTTATCTTTTCTTTCCCAAAAGTTGGCTTGAATTTTGAATTACTTCTTTAGGCTAAATCCCCATTGGGATATTCCTAACTTAAGGTATGTGTCATTTTTAAGACTCTGGGAAGTATTGCCAGGTAGCTTTTTTAGATAGGTTGTTACAGCCTGTGTTGCCATTATTACTATTTCTCTCCTGTCTTTTTTTTTTTTTTTTTTTTTGCTTGATAAACTTGTAAAGTCCTTTAACAAGTATCTTATAAAATGTTTAAGGTTGTTACCACTAATGGTTCTATATTAGATTAAAAGGACAGTAGCTAGAAGGAAGATACTGAATGTTCCCAACACAGAGGGATGGTCAGTGTGTGAGATGATGATGATCACCGTCATCTGATCACTGTACATCAGTATGGAAACATCACTGTGTCCCCCATCGAGTACATGCAGTTATTATAAAAATAGGCTGGGTGCGGTGGCACATGCCTGTAATCCCAGCATTTCGGGAGGCTGAGGCAAGAGGACTGCTTGAAGCCAGGAGTTCAAGACCAGCCTGTGCAACCTAGTGAGACTCCCCATCTCTACCAAAAAATTTAAAAATTAGCCAGGTTAGCTGGCACCAGCCTGTTGTCCCAACTATTGGGGAGGCTGGGCCAGGAGGATCGCTTGAGGCAAGGAGTGGGAGGTTGCAGTGAGCTATGGTGGCACCATTGCACTCTAGCCTGAGTGATAGATCTGGATCCTGTCTCAAAAAAAAAAAGTGTGTGTGTGTGTGTACATATATATGTTTATATTAATATTAAAAATAAATAACTTAAAAGTAATGAATAATGGAATCATGGATCTAAGTGGAACCCATGGGGCTATCTAGTGCAGCTTCTCAGAGACTATAATGCAGGGATCCTCAAACTTTTTAAACAGGGGCCAGTTCACTGTTCCTCAGATTGAGGGCTGGACTGGGGGCCCCAGGATGAGTCAGCTGCTAAGCAGGACAGGCAGCGGCAGCAAAAACACCCGGTGGGCCAGATAAATGTCCTGGGGGGGGGGGGTGCTGCATGTGGCCCGCGGGCCGTAGTTTGAGGACGACTGCTGTAATGGGCGCCTGCTCTTGAGTCAACTAATACCCAGGCTTTGACACAAAGACAGCTTATGAGTTCATTGGTTTAAAAGACTATGTATGGCTGGGTGAGGTGGCTCACGCCTATAATCTTAGCACTCTGGGAGGCTGGGGCAAGAGGATCCCGTGAGTTCAGGAGTTTGGGACAAGTCTGACCAAGAGTGAGACCCTTTTTTTACTAAAAATAGAAAAAGTTAGCTTGGCATTTTTCTGGGTGTCTGTAGTCCCTGCTACTCGGGAGGCTGAGGCAGTATGATTACTTGAGCCCAAGAGTTTGAGGTTGCTAGTACCCAGGGCCAACAAGTGAGTCTGTGCGCCCCCCCGCACCCAAAGAAAAGACTGCACATGACTAAGGAGACCGGATTTTACAATGAAAAAAAAACAAATCTCATAAGATTGTGGCTTACCTGAATATTTGACAAGACAGTTTGAGTGCTCTCTGGGGAATATCTTGGGAGGAGCATGACAATGATAATTCACACTTGGCTCCTCATCCTTTTGGGATTGGACCTCCAGGGTGTGGAAATTGGAGGGAATTCTTTGTGCAAGCTTGAAAATCAACCTAAAGCCACTGAAGTCACACTTCTGCTAATTTCTTGTCAGATGAGTTTCTGGTGGATTTTTATGAAATTTTTTTTTTTTACATTACAGAATACAGATGCTGTTCATCTTGCTCTGAAATTAAACAATTCTGAACTAATGGGAAGAAAACTCAGAGTCATGCGTTGTGTTAATAAAGAAAAATTAAAACAACAGACTTCAAATCCAGGTTTGAAGAATGTCCGTAAACCTAAGCAAGGACTTAATTTTGCTTCCAAAAATGCAGAAGGACCTTCTAAGAGTTTATTTATTGGAGAAAAAGCTGTTATCATGAAAAAGAAGAAGAAAAGACAGAAGAAAAGTGAACAAACTAAGAAACAGAGAAA